CTCGAACCGTGACTTCTCGGCTCTGAATCCGGTGCTTTGAGACCAAGCAACCATCCTTCTTAGGAGAGACTTTTGACGTTCCATTCAGGAGTACCTATAGCTTCATGTATATGCGTAAGACCGGTCAACGTAGCATTTCGAGCGCGGGCATAAATATGGTTTTAAATATGTAAGTTATATTTTTAATACGTATTTTGCTTTATATTTTTCCATTTATTTTAACGTAGCTTGTAAATTGTCGAATTATTCTTTAGGCGTGCATGCGGTTCGAAGTTTTCATGTCAGGAATACTCGTTAACCTATGACCTCGTTGATGCCTCCCGCTCTTTCCGGTTTCAGAATGATGTCATCTTGCCGGGCACCAGTATCTGTGAGACGCGGAGGGCCGTCCACATTTTGGTCTGCACCACGTTTTCTGTACACCGCATCTCGTTTGGACACCCTTCATCTGCTCTGCAAGATAACGTACGTGTTTTGTTGTGATTGTTCAGTTCCTCTGTGTTCTATATAATTGTAATAAACATAAACAGTGTGAAATCAGGGTTGAGTTAAAGTTTTGACAAAGATAGAGTTAGCACCATTCTTTTCATTGTGCAGCTGCATCCGGTAAAAACATCATAAAAATTAATTTTCCAAAAGAATATTGTTATTTAACGGTTGCTTGGTTCCCGCAATAAACTAGGTTCCTGCAGTTAAACTTTCCGTTAATAGAAATGCCACCCTCTGCTCACAGAGTAAGTACGATAAGGAAAAATGCGCGTTTGCAGTACGAATGTGACGGTATTCCGTGATATTTCGGTTCATATTTGAACCATAGAGATAGGACTGAGAAGATGAAAAGTTAAAAAGAAAAGCAAAGAAGAATGACTACCTGATGAGGAGGAGAAGAAAAAATAGGAAATGCAAAAGAAGGAAAAGCAAAAGAAGAGAGAAGGCAGTACAGAAAGAAGGAAATAAAGAGGTAGCGAATAAGGACAAACAAACGGAGGTTTATCAATAAAAGAGAAACAAATAGTTTAGAATAATGATGATGAACGAATAAGGGAGAACGGAGAAAACGAAGAAGAGGAAGAACACCATTGCAGTTCATTCGCTCTCAGCATATTTCTTATCATTATTTATATTCTGAGAAGGTTGGTTTCAAACTCCGAAAGAGATCTGTCTGTCTCTTTTTACCATTGGTTCGTTAGGCAGTTGTTTCTGGATTAATGACTTCTGCCACATCGACGAATTGTAGCATATTCAAAGTTTTCTTACTGTTTTACTGTTCACT